CTACTACTACTACTACGGCGACTGCTACTACTACTATCACTACTACTACTAATACTACTACTACTACTACTACTACTACAAATTACTACTACTACTACTACTACTACTACTGCTACTACTCTACTACTACTACTACTACGACGACTACGACTATTACTACTACTACTACTACTACTACTACTACTACTACTACCACTACTACAACTACTACTTCTACCACTACTACTTCGACGACGACTGCTACTACTACTACTTCCACTACAACCACTACGACTACTACTACTACTACTACTGCTACTACTACTACTACTACTACTACTACGTGAACTACTACTACTACTACTACTACTACTACTACTACGACGACTACTACTACTACTACTACCACTACGATTACTACTACTATTACTACTACTCCTACTATTACTACTACTACTACTACTACTACTACTACTACTACTACTACTACTACTACTACTACTACTACTACTACTACTACTACTACTAGTACGACCACCACCAGGACGACGACGGCGACGACGACGACGACGACGACGACGACGGCGACCAGGACGACGGCGACGACGACCAGGACGACGACGGCGACGCCGACGACGACGACGACGACGACGACGACGACGACGGCGACGACCAGGACGACGACGACGACGACTACGGCGACGAGGACAGCGGAGGGGAAGGGGAGGACGAAGGGGCCGTCGGCCATCACCTTGGCGGCGGCCACGGCGATGCCGATGATGCTCACGCCGGCGGCGATGCCTGGCGGTAAGCGGGTTGTATTTTTTAGATATATTTCGATTTATGTGGGTCTATTTCGCTCTATTTGGGTCTATTTCGGTTACGTTGGGCGTCTACTTCGGTCTACTTCGGTTGATTTGGGCGTATATTTCCGTCTACTTCGGTATAGTTCGGTCAATTTGGGCGTCTATTTCGGTCTACGTCGGTCTCTTTGGGCTTCTACTTCGCTCTGTTTCGCTCTATTTCTGTCTATTTGGGTATACATTGGAAATAAAAGCAAATAGAACCAAATAGGCCCAAATAGGCCGAGATAGAAGCAAATAGACGCCGAAATTGACGGAACGGAACCGAAGTAGACCGAAATAGACGCCCAAATCAACCGAACGACACCGATGTAGACGCCCAACTAAACCGAAATAGACCCAAATAGAGCCAAGTAGAGCCAAATATGCGCCGAGCCACCAGCCTGCAGCAACCACTGGCGCACGGCCCGCCCTCCAGCCGACTCTGGCGCGAGGACCTTGCACCCGCGGCCCGTCCTCGGGAAGTGCCCAGAATTTCGTGATCCCTCCCCCGTGGAGCAGGCCCACGTGGCGCCACCAGGGCAGCGAGCGTCTGGGGGGTCCACCGTCTGACGTAATTCTGGGGAGTCAGCGTCTGACTCTATTCTGGGGAACGCATGCCGCCCACCACTTTCAAGGGTGGGAGAGCCTGCGTGCCCCGCCCGATCTGACAGGGTTATGCCTACCCTCAAAGGCATTTGCGCTACACTGCGATCCTCGTCTCCCTCCTCCTTCTCCTACTCCCCCCTTCCTTTCCCTCTCGCCTCCCCCTCCTCCTCTCCCTCCTTCCGCCTCCTCCTCCCTCTCCTCCCCCCTTCCTTTCCCCCCGGCCTCCTTCTCCCCTCCCCTCCCCGCCGCTCCCTTTCCAGACCGCCCATGGTCCATCCGCCAAGCCACCTGCCTGGAGCCATGGCGGGGGAGCCGCGCAACTCCACCCCGCACCGCCAGAACGTACGGGACAGGATCACGCGCTCCATGTCCCCGGGGCCGAACTCGTGGTCTGGCCCGCCCTGCCCCGCCCACCAGCGAGGGACCAGGGCGCCGTCTGGGCCCCGCCGGTACCACTGGTCAGGGCGGCCCTGCCCGCGGGCAGGACCGCCCTGACCACCGCCGGCGTGGTACTCCTCCTCGGGCTTGTCTTCTCTCTTTCCACAACCCCTCCTACCCCTGCTCGGGGGAGGGGTTTACCCCTCCCCCTACCCCCTCCCCTGGGCCTGGGAGGGGCGCCCCGCGACCAGTTAGAGCGCCAAGATACTTGGCCGTGGGCCAAGTATCTTGGCCTCTTTTTGGGGCCCTCCGTGGGCGCGGTGGGCCCTCCCAAGAGGCTCCATGAGCGCCCCAAGAGGGCCGCCAAGTGGCTCCAAACGGGTCCCCAGAGGGCTCCAAGACGGCCGAAAAAAATATTCAGATCGACATGGCCATCTGAATATCTCTTGGGCCCCTTTTTGGTGCCCTCTGGGGGCTCGGTGGGCCCTCCCAAGAGGCTCCAGGAGCGCCCCAAGAGGGCCGCCAAGTGGCTCCAAACGGGCCCCCAGAGGGCTCCAAGACGGCCGAAAGAGATATTCAGATGGCCATGGTCATCTGAATATCTCTGGGTCTCTTTTTGGGGCCCTCCGAGGGATCGGTGGGCCCTCCCAAGGAGCTCCAGGAAGGCCCCAAGAGGGCCGCCCAGTGGCTCCAATGGGGGCCCCCAGAAGGCTCCAAGACGGCCGAAACAAAAAAAAAACAAAGAAAAAAAAAAAAAAAAAAAAAAAAAAAAAAAAAAAAAAAAAAAAAAAAACAAAAAAAAAAAAAAAAAAAAAAAAAAAAAACAAAAAAAAAAAAAAAAAAAAAAAAGGGGAGCCCAACAAAGAGAACCCGCACACCTTCAGGCGGCGCCCTGTGTGCTGGACGCACGTGCTCAGGAGGAAGCGGCCGCCGCCACCTTGGAGGGCCCGCGTTGGACGCCCGCCGCGGGCGCCGACTGGCGTCCACCACCGGCTCTGGTTCGTCAAACGGGCACCGGCGCGGCGCCCTTGAGCGGCCGCGTTGGCGCCGAGCTCGCGGTATCGCTTCACCGCCGCTTCTGCCTCATCCCACGAGTTGGCCGCCCGAAGATCCCTGCGCGCCTCCCGCGCCAAGTTCTGTGGCACGCGCACTTGGAATTGCTTTTCGTGAACGCGAACGCGGACGCGGACCCTGGCCATCCTCCTCGGGATCAGTCCAAAAAGTGATTTTTCGACCCCCTCCTTCCTTTTCCTGCCGCCCACCCCGCCCTCTATCCCCTCCCCCACCTCCGTCCCCCACTCCTGCCTCCCGCCCGCAGCCGTCTCTCCTCAGAGGATCTCCGGCGCCCAGTCGCGCACGTCCCCCGCCGCGGGGCCCAGCGCGTCAACGCCCCCAAGAGAGGCCAAGTCGCGCCGCAAAGCCTGGGAGGCGCGGAACGTCCGTTTCCTCATCTTGCTCCTCCCCCTCCCCCTCGTTTTCCTCGTCCCCCCCTCCTCCCCTCCGCCCTCCTCCTCCTCCCTCTCCTCCTCGTTGTCCTCCTCCTCCTCCTCCTCCTCCTCCTCCTCCTCCTCCTCCCACGCGATGTCAGGCCCACGGGGTTCCTGTCAGGCTACCGAGGTGCCCGACTTGCCAGTGCGCGCGTCCAGGTGTGAAAGGGGATGTGATGCTTGTATGGACTTATGTGGAGGGAACACGGGACGGGAGGGTGTATAGCAGCGTCGCTGGTGCATCCTGGGTTCTCAGTGGTCGTCGTCGTCGTCGTCGTCGTCGTCGTCGTCGTCCTCCTCCTCCTCCTCCCCCTCCTCCTCCTCCTCCTCCTCCTCCGCCTCCTCTTCCTCCTTCTCCTCGTCCTCCTCTGTCTGTCCTCCTCCTCCCCCTCTTCCTCTTCCCGCCTTCCTTCTCCCCTTCCTCGCCCCCTTCCCCGTCCCCGTCGGGGCCCACAACTCCCTCCCCTCTGGCCTCCACCTCGCTTTGCCACCATTTCCTGCGGCAAGACCGCCGCTCTTTCCATCCACCGCCGCCTCGCGACGTCCGCCAGAGCCCCCACGCCCGGAGCGCAATGAAGACCCTGCGAACTCCGAGTTCCCCCCCGCCGTATCTGCGCGGGCGGAGGCGCTTGCTGTAGTTCAGCCGTCCGAGCCTCGGCAATTCAATTTCCCTTGGCCGAGCCCCCATCATCACCTTCGTCGTCCTCGCCGTCCTCGTCCTCTGCCTGCTCCTTCCTGCTCCTGTTCCCTCTTCCTCGTCCTCCTGCCCCTCCGTCCTCCTCCTCCTCCCCCTCCTCCTCCTCCTCCTCCTCCTCCTCCTCCTCCTCCTCCTGCCCCTCCTCCTACTCCTCCTCTTGCTCTTGCTCCTCCTCCTCCTCCTCCTCGTTCTCCTCCTCCTCCTCCTCCGGCCGGCTCGTCTTCGTCCTCGCCCTCCTCGTTCTCGCCCCCCTGGCCCTCCTCGCCGCTGCTTTCCCTCCCTTCTCCCTCGTCGCCCTGCCCCATCCTCCTCCGCCGATCCCCGATGAGGCCATGCTGAGTGCGAGGCTCGTCGGGTTTCCTCCATAAACTGTGGTAGCTATACACAATGTCCACAAAAGCGGGGTTGCGGGTCATTGTGAAGTACAAACACGACTGGTCCTGCACAGTGTTGGTACCTGGTTTCTTGCGCTCGTCGCCGGGGGCGGCCTCTGGCCCCGACGAGTCGCCGTCAGCCTCGCGGCCTGCGCCCTTGGGTGCGTCGCCCTCGTCTGGCCCCGCTTCCTCCGTGCATTCCTCGGCGCTTTCCTCCAAGTCCGTTGCCACGGATTCAGCGTCCTCGTCGTCGGGGTCGGAACCTATCTTGTCCGCCTTCTCGAGAGCGGCGACCTTCCGCTGCACGGCGGCCCTGTCGGGCATGGAAATGAGCACAGGCTTCGTGATAGAAACCCGCAGGTCGGGCCAATCCACCTGCGCCGCGTCCACGGTCACCCCGTGCACAGTCGTCGCCTCAGGGAGCGCAAGGTCGGCCACGAACCTGGTTAGCGGCGCGATGACATCGGAAAGCCGCCTGCCGACATCGAGCGTGAAGCTGTTGTGCCCATCACGAGCGAACTCAACGCAGCCAACTTGATACCCGATCGAGGCGACCAAGAGCAAGAGCACACGACCTGGGCCCCATTTCAAGAGGTAGAATCCGTCTTCCGCGTGGGCAAGCTTCTTGGCCCATGCAGGAAAATCCCGGATGCTTGTTGCCTGCGGGTGGACCCTCGGTGCCGCGCGAAGCGGGGGCCCGTCGATCCTGCGGGAAAACTCCGCCCTGCCCGCGTCCATTCTCTCGCGGAACGTTGCCTCGTTCTCCTCCACGGAGAACCAACGGAGCCAGTCTTCGGCCGAGTGCGGGACTACGGTGGCGATCTGCTTTTCAAGTTCCTTCGCCCTAGCCCGGTCCTCTTGCACTCTCCTCTGCAGGCTTTCGGTATTCTCCTCGACGTACGCATGCAGGCGCCTCCTATCCCAAGGGCGAACAGGTCGGGCGGCATCCGCCGACGCGGGGGCGCCGAAACGGCGGCCGACTGGTCTCGGTGCCAATTCTGGACAGTCCTCCCAGGCCTTGGACCAGACGCTCGTGTGTTTCAGCTGGCGGAGGCGGCGCCGCAGGTAGAACGTCCTGGAGCGCGCCTGTCGGGAACCCCGGAGGTGCGTCTCAATGATGTGGTTTCGCGAAGCGAACCCGACGCTCCGCAATCTCCCGCGAGTCGTTTCGCTCCTCTTTCCCAGCGCATGCGAGCGCTCAACTTCGAGTGAGTTGGCTACGAGTTTACTGAAGAGACCAAACAACTCTTCCTGCATGTGGCTACCCCTCAAGTGGTCGATGGCAGCGGACCGGCTGCCCTTGGCAAGCGCTTCTCTTTGAACCGGGACACCGTAACCAGCATCAAGGGCCGTCTCCTCCGCGTCCAGGAAACTTTTGATGGCGTCCTGGGGCCCCCCAAAGGAAAAACATACAGCGGCGTACCAAATCGCACGGAAAAATCTCGGTCGCCCCGGACTCGGGCGACCGCCCGACGAAACCGGCAGCGGGTTAAAAACGACATGGGCCCCGAGATGTCCGTGCGTGTGTATGTGCGTGGTAATTGTGGGGCACATGTAGCGCTCTATGTGTGGGCGTGCGTGTGTTTGCACGTTAATTTCGGGGCTCCTGGGTCTGGCGGCCCGTCGAGGATGGGGCCCCTTTAGTAAGGCGCGGGCGCTCCTGAAAGCCAAGTGGGTTCCACGCCGCCACCATCGTGCACATCCTGTATGGCCAGTCACTATATTGGCCAAACCGTATACAAATATGCATCTCTGTGAGGAGCAGGCGATCGACGACGACAGGGATATCCAACACTGGGTCCGCGTGGAGGTGTCGAAAAATATCCTGCAGGACGTCCGAGGTCCGCTCTTGCACGACGCCAGTCTGCAAGCGAACGACCGCGGGCCGTTCGTCCGCCGAGCTGTCCTGGGAGCGCGGCGGCGTTCCATAGCGTTGTTTTCGTCCTCCGCCCTGCCCTGTCCCCGTGCCTCTGCCCTTCCCCCCGCCGTCCCCGCCGCCGCGGCGTTGCCCCCGTCTGCCCCCTGGCTGCGTTTCCTTGTGTACGCCTGGCTGGCCGTATGTCTGTGTTTCCCTCTCTGCTTCTCTCGCTCCGCCTCCTCCGCCCGCTCCCTCTCCCTTCGGGATCCCTGCCCCTTGCGGCCCTGCCCTCCCTCCCGCCCCCCCTGGTCCTGGCACCCGCCTCCCTCCATCCCCCCCTCCTGCCTCTTCTCTCGCGGTACAACTGGCGCCACTGGCACAACTGGCACAATTTGCACGCATTGCATAAATGGCAGAACTGTCACAACATACACAACTCTGGCTGATGAGGCACGACTGTCACAACTAGCACGCACGTCACAACTTGCACATTTGGCACAACAGCCACAACTAGCGCGATTCTTGCGCAACGTCCGCGCTGGCTGCGCCAAGTGTCACATCTTGCGCCACTGGCGCCGCACTCAAACCCAATGGGCACACTTGCAATGACGGGCACAACTGGCACATTGAGCACAACTGCACAACTGACACAACAGGCACGGCTCTGGCACAACTGGCCGAAACTGGGCGATTCAACTGGCACATATTGCGCATTGGACGACAATCTGGCACAAGAGGCCCCCGTCCTTTTTTGCCGTCAGCTTCGTGGCGAAGAGCGTCAGGCGGACACAGAGAGCTGCTTGCCGCACCTCCCTGTCCGTTTCTGGGCGGCGCCACCATGCCACAAATCGCTGCACGCGGAGGCGCGCCTCCGCGCGGGCATCCGCCTCGAACAAATCCCCCCCGACGCCGAGGACCTTGAGGCGCACCAGCGAGAAAACGCACTCGCCGAAGAGCCAGAAGCGGGTGACCACGGGCCGCTCCTCCACTTTCAGAGTGACCCGGAGGATGGCGGCGTAAACTGCGGCCCTGATGGCGGCAGCGTCTTCCCCCTCCTCGCAGACGTAGTCCCAGGACCGCACGCCCGACGGGAAGTGGCGGCAGTACTCGTCAGGGAACACGTCGGCGCCGTACAACCTGCCGCGGGGCCGCCCCCCGCCCACGGACCCCCAAGAGAGGGGGAAAGACACGATTGGGCGAGAGGCGGACCCAGGACCTTGCAACCCCCAGGGGCGCCTGAGGAACGCGCTCTCGGCGCCGTCGAGGGCGAGCGGCCCCGCTGCCCACAACGCCGCAGGAACGCGTATGAAGCGCAAGCGGGCGGCGACGAAAATGCGAAGCGAGGAGCAGTACTCGTCCACGTGCGCCGCGAGCAGATACTTGAACAGCCTCGAACAATTAGCCGTCAGGGGGCACTGCTCCAAAGGTTTTGCAAGCTTCTTGCCAGTGATTGCCACTTCTACACACAGGTTAGACTGGTGGCTGGCGCACCGCAACAGCAACAACAAGTACTTGCCGCAAGCGGCCATCTGGGCCGGCAGCAACTCAAGGAGGCGGGCTCCCGCGGCAGCATTTGTGTTAACGCCGTCGCCGATGAGCAAGTGGACAAGCCTATATGAATGCACGGGCGAGCGGCCCGCGCACTGGCCCCCCACTATCTCGAGGATGTCCTTGACGGCTTGAAACAATGCGGCGGCGAGGGTGTCGGCCGTCTTGCGCGCCAGCGGCTGCAATTCGGTCAGCCACTGCAGGCAAGCGTCCCCCGTGGCCACACGGATAACGTTGTTCTGCACCTTGGCCTCCCTGGACCTCGAGAAGGCGTCCCCGCCGACGCCGACGCCGCGCGGCAGCGGCATGCCCGGCGTGGCGTTGGCGTCCGTCTGGAAACTGGGGGGGGACACAAACAAGAGCACGGGCCCCGCGGGCCGTCGATGATATAACATCTATGGTTTTTGGTTACCGCCCCCTGGGAGATGAAAATACCACGAGGCCGACTGTTCATATGCGAGCCCTGCGCCTGCGCAGCCGCATCTGCGCTTCGTCGTGGACATGCACGAGGTAAACGACGCAAGGCCCCTGCTGACCAGCCGCCTCTCTGGCATCCAGCGCCGCGGCGCATAAAGCGTTCAGCTCGTGCTTCTGGAAATCTTTCAGGGTCGCCGCGAATGCGTCCCGCACTCGGCCAATGAACCCTTGCCCGACTGGGGCCCGGTCGCCGCCCACAGGGAAAGCACCCAAGTAATCAGCCAGCGCCCGCTGCGACAAGGTTGGGGGGCTCAGGAAACACCGGATGATCCAGAGAGCCCGCATCTGGTTTCCCTCCTTGCTTTGGCGCTCGGCCACCAGCGCGGACTGCGCCTGGTCCTTCTTTTTCAAGGCGTACTGCCACCAACGCCTCGGGATCACGGCCGCCCGCGAAAGGGGCGGGGCGGGTGGCGACGACGGGGCGACGACGACGACGACGACGACGACGAAGACGACGACCACCGCGACGACGACCACGACGAAGAACACCACGACGACGACGACCGCGACGACGGCCACGACGACGAACACCACGACGAGGAACACCACGACAACGACGACCACGAGGACGACGACGACGACCACCACCACCGCGACGACGACCACGACGAGGAACAGCACGACGACGACGGCCACGACGACGGCGACCACGACGACGACGAGGAACACGACGACGACAACGCGACGACCACGACGACGCTCCCAACGAGGAACACGAAAACGACGACGACGACGACGACCAGGACGGCGGCGACGACGAGGAATACGACGATGGCGAAACACACGACGACGACGCCGACGACGACGAGGGCGGCGGCGGCGACGACGAGTACCAGGACTACTTCCACGACGGCGAAGGCAAGGACGACGACGACCACAACAAGGAACGAGACGACGACGACGACGACGACGACGACGACCACCCCCACCACCACCACGACCACCAATGCGACGACCACGACCACGACCACGTCGAAGCTGGCTCGTGGCGCATATTTCTAGGAACCCTGCGTAACGCGGGCCTGACTTTGGATAGTTCTGCCTGCAGCTCCGCAACTGTGCGCTGCGGGGCGCGGAGCCTCGCATACACGTTGGCGGGTCTGTCAAATTGATCCTCGGGGCAGTGGGGGCGAATCCACCCTCCTCCTGCCTCCTCCTGAACCCGCTGTCTCCTCCTACCTCCTCCTGCCCTCCCCTCCCTCCTCCCTCCTCCTGCCTCGCTCCTCCTCCTACCTCCTCCTGCCTTCCCGTTCCTCCGCCTACCTCCTCCTGCCCCCTCCTGCCCCCTCCCACCCCTCCTCCGTCATCCCTCCTCCTGGCCCTGGCAACCTCCTCCCTCCTCCTCCCTCCTCCTGCCTTCCCCTACCCCCCGTACCTCCTCCTCCTCCGCCTCCTCCTCCTCCTCCTCCTCCTGTTCCTCCTCCTCCTCCTCCTCCTCCTCCTCCTCCTCCTCCTCCTTTTCCTCCTCCTCCTCCTGTTCTTCTTCAGTCCCCCGTCCTGCCCCCTCCCTCTTCCCCCCGCCCCGCTATCCGCCAACGCGGCGGCGAGCTGGTCCGCGCGCTCGCGCACAACGGCCACATCGACCCCTGCCGCGGCGAGCTGTTCAGCGTTCCCGCCGGAGCCTTGGCGGAGCCCCTCTCCTCCCCCCTGCCCCTCTCCACCTCGCCCCCCCCCCCTGCCTCGCCTAGGAGCTCGCTGAAATGCGCGAGGGCGCGCGCCAGCACCTGCGCCGAGCGCAGCACGGGTTCCATGGCCCAGCGGCTGGCCGCCGCCCCCGGCCTGAACCCGCGCTCGAGCCCTTGGCGGGCGGCGGCGCCAGCTGAGGAGGGGAGCCGAGACAACAGCCGAACTGGATCTGGCCATCGCTCGGACGTCCACTCCTTGTGCTTTTTTTCGGTTTCGTGCGTGGCTTTTTTCGCCAAATGATCAAGGATTCTCCTCGGTGGTCCTCGCCGAAGGAAAAAAATGCACACGCCCGAGCGATGCCAAGGCACCGTGCGAGGGGAGGAGGAGGAGGAGGAGGAGGAGGAGGAGGAGGAGGAGGAGGAGGAGGAGTGAGAGTGAGAGTGAGGAGGAGGAGGAGGAGGAGGAGGAGGAGGAGGAGGAGGAGGCCCCGACGGCTCCTCGATGGTCCTCGCCGAAGGAAAAAAATGCACACGCCCGAGCGAGGCCAAGGGATGGGCCTGGGCACGCCTGCGCGGCTGCGAGGCGGGGCCTTCCTCCACGGCCACTGCCCGAGGCATCGACCTCCCCCTCCTCCTCCTCCTCCTCCTCCTCCTCCTGCTCCTCCTCCTCCTCCTCCTCCTCCTCCTCCTCCTCCTCCTCCTCCCTCTCCGTCCGTCCCTCGGGTCCCTCGGTGGAGGAGGACTGTCAAGTCCTTCACGCGATGCACCGCGACGCTGCGGCTTCACGCCGCCGCTCCACCCATTCGGCGATCACTGAGGGGCAGCGATAACGGGGGGGCACAGCTCCTGGGGGAAACATCGAGAAGGAATCGGCGGTAGGCCTCCCCATAGCGAATCCGCACCGTCCTGGGCGGGGTGGGCTATCGGGCCCCTATCGGCGATGAGTGGGCGATTGCGGGTCGCTGCGTCCCCCCCCCCTGAGCCTATGCCGCAAGGTAAATCCGCCACCGTGCCCCCTCGCACGTTGAGGCAGGCTAGAATGCCAAGTGCTGTCTGGTAGAATTTCTGTACTATTCTAAGGTGCCCCGCTCTCTGGCCCACGCACCGCCCCCTCTTCCTGAGGCTCTGTCGGCGCCCGGGCACGCTCCTGGCGCTCTCCAGTGCTGCCAAAAAGCCCAAGATGGCTTCCAACGCGGACCTGGGATACCACCAAAGCCGCCAAGATAGCCCAAGGTGCTTCCAAGACTCCAGAGGGTACGCCGGACTTGGGCAGTCACGAGAGCTCCCCGGCAAACAGGGACAACTGTGGAAACAAGATTGCACAACGAGTCTGTGCGCGAGCAGGTGCACTATTTGGCACTATTTGGCTCTATTTGGCTCTATTTTGGTCTATTTGGAAAACGAGCGCGACCATGCATGTTGAAAAAGACTGCCGCGCAGAGTACACCTAAGCTAAATGTCCCGAGTGCACAAAAAAGGAACAAGCAAGGAAGGGCGGCCGAGGAGGGGGAAAAGAGGGGCGCGCGCGCGCGCACGGGGCGGGGACCGCAGCGGGGCGCTGGGGGCGGCCGTGCTGGAGCTACTCACCTGGCAGCGGGTGGGGCGGCGGCACTAGGGCGGAGCCAGGGGCAGTCAAGTGCGGGGGATGGAGCCGGAGCAGCGAAACTGGCCGCGGAAAACCGGATGTGTCGGCTGCAAGGCCGGGTACGCGGACGGGCTGCGACGGCCAGCCGGGTGCACCGGGGGCGAGGCAGCGGAGGCGACAGCGGAGGCGGGAGCGCGCCCGCCACGCAGAGCCCGGGCGGCGCAGCCCAGGGCGAGGGGCCTGCGAGGGCCCGCCTCGGCCAGGCTGCGCACCGCGGGCAGCCCCGAGGCCCGGCGGCGGCGGAGAAGGCGACGGCCCAGGAGGCGGCGCCAGCAGCCGCAGGCGGGCCAGGCTTAGGCGGCCGAGCCGGCCCAGGCCGGCGCACGCAGCGCCGCCGAGGGCGGGCGGAGGCCTGCCCAGAGGTGCGGGCAGGGCGGCGGCGGCCGGCACGAGGCGGCCCGGGGGCAAGCAGGGGGGAGGCGCAGGGGCGCAGGCTCATGATGCTCCAGCCTCCTTCAGCCTTGTTCACCAGGAAGAATCTCGAGCGCCTCCCAAAAAATACCGAAACTCACGGGTCTTCACGCGTCGGGCCCTGGGAGACACTCGCCTGACACTGTTTCGACACTGTTTGTGCTCGAAATCATTTCTGGGATGTGGTCCTTCAGTAGGATGGGAACAACATAAGCGCAGGCTCCCAAGCAGGGCGGACACGGCGTCACTGGGGCACCCCGCGGGCCAGCGAGCGCGAGGGCATGGGGCGACGGGCGCGCCGACCGGGCCTAGGCACCGCAGGGGCGGAGGGCCACAACCAGCGGGCGGAGGGGGGAGCTCCCCCAGGGGGGGTGGGGGGGAGGCGAGGGGAAGCACGCCCCACCTCAGTGGCGGAGCGCCCGCGGGAATATATATATATATATATATATATAAACAAAGAAGAAGAAGAAGAAAAAAAAAAAAAAAAAAAAAAAAGGCGCACCGCGTGGGATGGACGGCGCGCCTCGGCCGGGAAGCAGAGGCGGCCCGCAGCGCCACGCAGGCCCCAAGCAGGGAGCAAGGGAGGCGAGCGCGCCACCAGGGAAGGCGGCACGTCCACGGCGGGAGGGGGGGCGCACCACCTGGGATGGATGGCGCGCCCCGTCCAAGGAATGACCAGGAGCACCTATCCGGTACACAAGAAGTCATAAACCGCCTGTGGCGTCGGCCCGTCGGATTGACCTGGGTGGCCATTCCGTGGACAAACGCCACAGTCGCCGTGTGCAAAGAAGGGCTACCAGGTCCAAGGCGATTCATTGCCATTCTTTTCCAGGTACAGACCGGGCACACGAACTAGCGTCGCAGAAGCACGCGGATATGTGTCATCATTCTGGGTACAAGTGGCATCGATGATGCCCCGACCCCAGAAGAGGGGGGACGGCGGAGTCCAGGTACAAAGCGAAAGAAACAGGAACGCGACTCACAGTCGCACAAGCAACTGGATCGACGACCGCCAGTACCTATGGCTCACCAGCATGACCTAAGCTGGCCACGCTGGACCCCGACAGGCCTGGCGGCGGAGCGGGACAAGGCCTCATGACTCCAATGAGCGCGGACATGCCGCCAGGCTCATCAAGTCGGTACGCCCCGACCAGGATTCCGAGGCGGGTCCGACCATGGCGACGGGGGCGACGCTGCTCTCCTCCAACAGGGGCGACCAGGTCACGGTGGCCCACCCCAGGGGCGAGCGCGGCATTGCTCTCACGCACCTTCGGCGGCAACAAGTCTAGGCCCTTCTCACAAGCAGCCCTGCCATCTGCAGCTGTACCGACAGCGTTTGTCGGTGCACTCACGCTGACGGGGCCTGTGGGAGCGCCCCTGTGCCCAGGCGACGACTCGGCCAGCGCGGCGTCCGTGCCAAAACCGTCATTCGCCCCTCGCAGGTTCAGAACAGGCACGCGAGTAACCATCGCACAAGCACGTGGATCGTCGACCGCCAATCCCTGTGGCTCACCAGCGTGACCTGGGCTGCCCACGCTGGATCCGGACAGGCCTGGTGGCGGAGCGGGACGGGGCCCCATGACTCCAATGGGCGCGGAGATGCCGTCAGCCTCATGACTTGGGCACGCCCCGGCCAGGATTCCAAGGCGAGTCCAACTATGGCGACAGGGGATGCGCCGCTTCCAAGGCGAGTCCAACTATGGCGACAGGGGATGCACCGCCCTCCTCCAACCGAGGCAGCCAGGCCACGGTGGCCCACCCCAGGGGTCAGTGCGGCACTGCTCTCACACAAGGTCGGCGGCAACAGGTCCAGGGCCTTCTCACAAGCACTCCTGCCACCAGCAACTGCACCCACACCGTCGGTCGGCGCGCTCACGCTAACGGGGCCTGTGGGAGCACTCCTGTGCCCAGGTGGCGACTCGGCCGGCGCGGCGTCCGCGCCAAAACCGTCACTCGCCCGTCCCAAGTACATACCAGGCACGCGACTAACCGTCGCACACGCAGGTGGATAAGCGTCTTCCAGGGCCGCAGACTCCCGGAATGACCTGGGAAAGCTGGGGCACCTCAGCCCAAGGACATCTGGCCTCCAGCCGGCGGGCCCGCCACCGGGCCACTTCCACCAGCAACCTCCCGAAGCGCGCGCGCGCGCCAGGAGAAGCAGGGCGGGGAAAGGAAGGGGCAACTATCCCGCGGGCACGACTGGACCAGGATTCCAAGGCAAGTCCAACAGTGGCGACTGGAGGGGCGCCGTCCTCCTCCAACAGAGAAGCAACCAGGGTCACCAGCTGGGCCCGCGGACCGCACCCCGTGCTGACGGGGCGGCACCGCGCCCTCTCGCTCGGCCCACTCAATAACGTCGTGTCCAGCGGGCACAGGTCCCCGGAGGAAGGCCGCACAGTGGACAGCGGACCGCCTCCCAGGGTTGGAGGCGACGCGCCGCCCGTCGTCTTGCGCCACGCAGACAGCGCCCGACCACTGACAAACGTAGACCCACTCTCGGGCTGGAGCCGTCGCAGCCTGGGGCCGCCCCGCCCGCCCGCGCGGCGGCTGCGATCAAATCCAGGGCCGAAACGGGCACGCTGGTCGACGCCAGGGGCGACGAGGCTTGCGCGGGACCCGGCGGCCAGCTGCGGCCGCCAAGGCTGTGAGCGGCGCCGTTGGCCGCGATCTCGACAGAGGCGTCGGTCAGCACAGCGAGCGAGGCGTCGCCACGTGCGCAGGGGGTGGCACCGGGCCCACGCGCCTGGCTCCTCCGCGACATCGTCGGCGTCGCGGAGGTCGTCGTCGCCCGAACCAAGGCGCTGAGCAGAGTCGGCAAGGGCCAGGTCTTAGCCCGCCGTCGCGGCCAGGCGGCAACAGAACGTCGGCCGCCGCTGGGGGGGCCCAGGGTTGCTAGGATCGGCGGGCTCGGCGCTGGGCTGGGCGACGCACCCGACGGCGAGGGCGGGGCCAGGCCCAAGGGGGCCGCGCGCACCGTTTCCGCGGTCCCCAGCCTGGCGCCCCGCTGCATGGGCGTCGCCTTCGGCCAGCAGGGGCGCGCACTGGCCTACATCCACCACGCGGCAGACAG